AAGTGGAACAGTTGTGCGGAATGAAGACCACCATAGTTCCGATCATCATAGGCACAACTGGCGTCGTCCTGAAAGACCTCAAAGGACACGTCAAGAAGCTAGAGTGTGAAATATCACTGGATATTCTCCAGCGTACAGCAATCTTGGGCACGGCCAGCATCCTTCGCCGTGTCCTTCAGAATTAAGACGAGTATGAGGTCTGGGATGTGGTTCACCCCCCCTCATATCTCCAATACCGGCAGGTGCCGTGGAAGGATTTATTTATAAACAGTATGTTACTAGAGGGTTATCAACTAAAATTCACGCAGTCGAGTCTGCATTAGAGGCGGAGCTAGTTTTGCATCATTGAAAGCAACTCTTACCAACGTAAGATACACAAAACTGAAAGTCCAGGTGACGAAAGGACGATGGCACAAAGTTTCAAGAGCAACTTTCCATCCATATCGGAAGAATCAGGATCCATTAAATTTGAACGAAATGTTGCACGAAATCCAAAGATGAAGACGAGGACCAGGACCAGAGGGGATCGCGGGGAGAGGTAAAACACGACGGGCAAATATTTCCGCGATTCGCGTAATAAAGTGCCGAGTCTCGCCAGTGTGCTTGCTGAATCATTCAAGGGTATGTTAGAGGAAGTAGAGAACTGCGCAGAACGAGCCAAAAAATCTTTAAAATGAATACTTAGCATCAAATTGGAAGAAAATGAGCAAATAAAACTTAATTAAATATTCGAACTGAAAAACTGACAAGAGAAAAACTTGGGAGACGGAACGAGCCATATTTTGACGTCAAAAGTCACGGACGGGACGGAATGGCGTGTTTCGTTTCCGTGCAGGGCTCTAGGGAGACGTAACATTGTGGGGTCCACGCCTGGACCTCTGCACGATTGCGTTCCACAAGCTTTGCGCAGTTTCACGATTCCCTGGCAGATATGTTAGGCAGATGCACGACGGTGACTCTTCCATCTAATTTTCCCTAAGGCACCAGCTAAAGACGGCTTTCAAAGAGACGCAAAAGATGACTTTCAAGGCTTTTGTCGATTGGACTCGCGGTCGTGCTGAGGACGGCAAAGTCAGGGAATCCACCGATGATGGTCGCGTGGCTTTTCAGATAGAGAATCGAGCCGAGAGATCAGAGAAGAATACTTCTCGTAGAGCGAAAAGCGGTTGTGAAATTCAACAGAAGAGTGTGAAGCACATAGCGTGCTTCAAAATTAAAGTTCAAATGCTAGACATCGATCGCGTTTTCTCCTTGCAAGGGGATGAGGGAGCACGGGGCCAGGGGAAGGGAGCGCGGGGCCGAAGGGAGGGAGCGCGGGACCAGAGGGAGGATGCCGGGGTCGGAAGTCGACCGCAGCTCGTTTGCGGCTTCCCGGTGTGGTGTCACCTTGGGGATGCCTCTGCGGTGCTCGTCCGGGTCGCGTCGCTTCCGGGCTTCCACCGTTTTCGCAATTTCGAGCCGAGCGGAACGTCGATGCCGCGTTTCGCCGGGGTTTCCGGGAGTGGCGATAAATCGGAACCGCAGTCGTTCCGTCGAAGTGGAGCGGTGCCGTCTCGCGAGTCGCAATTTCGTATCATAAATATCTATTTAACGGTCCCATCGCATGTCTCACGCGGTTGAAGAAAAAAAAAATGGGAACCAGGGAAAGTGTGGCGCCGAGTTCGTCAGATCCGATAGAAAATTCGACACCGAACCGCAACACCCAGCAGATCCAGTTCTACAACACCCTCCACCCCACCCTCCACCCCTCCACCCCACCCTCCACCCCTCCACCCCACCCACCCTCCCCGCCCCCTCCCCAAGACGCAAGCGAAAGCTGGACTCACTCGGAACAGGTTGGATCCCGGGAAACTCCTCCTTGGCGTTTTCTTCCTCCGACCTCCACCCCGGCCACTCGAACTTCCCTCGAAGGGCCTTCTCCCATACTGCAAACATTCCAAGCGCGTTTCAAACCGATTCCAAGCACGTTCCGAAAATAAATATCGAGATTTGGAATCCGCAGAGGCCATGCGGCCTCTCTTAAAACAGCGTAAAGGAACGCAGTAGGAGTCGATTTTGATGATCGATATCGCGTGTACGCGTACGAATAGATATAATTCTGCGTCTGGAAAGCTTAGGGTTACACTTTTGCTCGTGACACTCGATGTTTCCACCCCTGGAAGGGAATCGCGCGTAATTATGACGAAATGCGAGTCGGGTCGTTCACACGACGTCGACGATCAAACCGGACTCGTGCTCTTCTGGTACGTTTTATCGTTTTGTTATATGTATCGTTTCGAAATGGCTCTTGCCTGGCAAGCCTGTGACGGGATCGACGCGTCTCCGACTCGCAGTCGAACTGCAACCGAAATTCGGAATGCGAACGGCAGGGCCCCTTATGGTCGTCGTTCCGCGCAAGAATGCGAATTCCAGAGACGCGCGAAAACGGCGCAGTCGTTAGAATCTCGCGAGCCGAAACTTCGCCACCTTCTCCCTTCGCCACAGAAAACCGTGGATGAGTAGAAGGCGACTTGGCGCGGAGGGCATCCCCCTTCGTCCCTCTTCATCCTCCATCATCCCGCTTCTTTCGTCTCCCTCACGACGAACATCGTGATAGATGGCTCTTCTTCCCTACATGGACACACTGGTTCTCCTGTAGTCTCCAGCGCCACCCGACATCGATAACGACGAGCGCTCGGCTGAACCAAACGGCAAAGCCAATCAGCCCTCTCCCTCCCCCTCCCCCTCGACACAAGATCCGCTTCGTCGATGAGATCCTGGATCATAAACGCATCCGGGCCGGGAGGGGTGGAGCCAAGTGGGTGGAGCCAAGTGGGTGGAGCCAGGTGTCCCCCTCGGCCTTCCCATTTAAGGTGCGAGGCGATGGGACGACGAGGCATCCGCAATCCATCCGCAATGACGACGGAAAAGCCGTGGAAAAAGGAGCACGGAAACGAAAGGATGGACGGATTCGTCTCGACGGCCTCTTTCGTCCGGGGGAATCCCCTCTCGACGGCCCACGCGTCCCTTTGTCCCTTCGGACGTGGGCTCGGATCCGCACGGAGGGGGAA